AGACATATGTTGGCTTTTATCTGTCTCTGCTTTTTCCTGATAAATGTTGCACTATACCAAGCTATCATATGCCAAGAAATATACAATGGTTGGTTTTACACTTGCCACTAAACCATAACCAATCTTTATTAATGTCAGTAGCTGTCTTCACATACAAGTTAAATAAAAGTCAAATAGAACACATTATGACTAAAAGTTATGGATGAACCTAGCTAGCATTTAAAGTTATGGATGGACCTAGCTAATATTTAAACTATGCAGTCACATTTGAGTTCTTTTTAGAATATTACACTAGTGTACAGGTGTTTTTTTTTTAATTTGATTTATATGCCATCCTCCGGAGACTCAGGACGTTGGACCATTTTTGTCATATTCAAAACATTTGGACTCTATGCAAATATTGAATTCTAGTGGGAATTCAGGAACAAGCATTAAGGACTCATTGGTGTGATTTGGTCAAAATTAAACATCTTTTACTTTAGTGAAAGCTAAGCGCATCTAAACTTCTCTTCCATTTCCATTTTAATTCCCATTTCTAGTGGGAATTAAAAATACTTGGTTGAATTGCACCCTACAGAGGAATCAGCTTTTAAGACTGAAAGGTTTTGAATTGCCTTGTCAGTTCATAAAGTAACACTATCTTCATGACTATTGTCCATGAAATTGCGCAAAGATTGCATAACAACTCCCCATAACAATCCATTGGGTGAACATTATTGACTAGAAGTGTACAAAGCATCCAAGAGGATATTAAAATTTTCTATATAATTTGACAGATTTGATTTAAGTCATCTACAGCAGTGGTCCCCAGCCTTTTTGGTGGCTTCACGTGCACAACCTAATCTTGTGCATGCACAAATAAAGCTTTGAACGCTTGCCCGCGGGCCGGGGGTTGGGCCGCTCCGATCTACAGTATTAGACTCAATGAATCTGTTTACTTCAAAATTCTGTTTGGACACCCAATTTACTAAACCACACTTGTTTTTTTCCTTTATGTATATATGTATGTATGTGTGTGTATTTATAAATATTCACCATAATCTCAAGAGAATAAAAAGTAATTGGAGTAATTGGGGATGCAATTTCTAAGCTGGGAGAGTGGCTCCAACATATTCCAGGAACAACATCAGAGCTCTCTGTCCAAAGAGTGCAGTGTTAGAAGCCGCTAAGGTCCTGTGTCAAAGCCTCTGTGTGCGTGGAGGCCTCTTGGGGCCTCCGTGTGGCCCATTTTTGGCTGGCAGAATGCTGCAGGAGGCCATGGAGACTGAAAACAGGCCATGGGCCAGTCCTTTGATATTTCCAGACCGGCCCCACAGGCCAGATTTAAGTACCTCATGGGCCAGATCTGGCCTGCGAGCCTTGAGTTTGACAACCTACTATAGAGGAACACGGGGAAAAACTAGGGAGCTGGAACAAATAAATAATGTGCATTCCAGGAAAGAGGGATCGGGGGGGGGGAGTTCTGTTCCAGTACTAATATTAGAGAAATCCTCTATTTCCATAAGGAGTGTTGAGACAGATGCAGAAGAAAACAGTAGGTAGCTATGCCCACATTTCAAAAAATCCATAAATATGAAAGGAGGGGAAAAAAGATAAGAATTGGGGTCTGCTCTGAACAGGTAGGCATCCAATGTTCTCTAGTGGGTGAAAACGTCAGAGTAAAGCAGAAGATGGCCGCCTTCTGGCTTTATGGAGCAATGCCTGACAACCTTCAATGGGCATGAGCTACTAAGTGTATAGGCATACAGGTTACCCCAGAACAGCCAGAGTTTTGCATGGCTCTGAACATCAACTGCTGTAGAACAGAAGCAGTAGTACAGGAACAACTGCAGGGAACATAAACAAAACAAAACAATATGAAAAACCCACATATTTTTAAAAAAATGTTCTTTAGGAAAAAGAGCTTTTTATTCGGCTGCACTGGAACTTCATTGAAGTGACTACTGAAAAAGCAGGAAAAAAATCCAGATGATGAGCTTTGTTGAAAGCTGGAACTATTTCAGAATGCATGAAATGAATGGTTGAGTCTCATTTGAATATAAATCAAAAAGCTTATTGTACCTACCCAGTATCAAAAGACTCAGTGCCTAAACTTTTGTGAGATCTGGAGGACCACAGCGTATTCCAAAGTGACGCAATGCCATTGTAGAGAAGAGGCTTTGGTATTCCAAGCGAGGATTACAGCTGACATTAGCTCTAATTCCAGCATACTTTAAAAAGAAACTGAACAAAACTGAATCTCTTCTGGCTGAAGTGAAGTTAGTCTACGGAATTTTGGAATAAATATTGCAAATATATTCTTCTATAACTCAGCCAGAGTTGCATGATTGGTATGACACTTATTGTAATCATGACTAAATCAAAAGCAATTTCCAGTTGAAGTCATAAAATCTATTCTCTACATTTCCATCATGCCCTTTAGAAAATGTGTTTTAAAAAACTTGATTTTAAATGAAGCATCAATCAGGATAGTCATATTTTATAGCTATAGCATTTTTTTTTTGGCTCAGAAGACTAGACATATTCTAATACCTGCAATTGTAAAAACATTTGCAAGAGGTGTTTGCAAAGCAGCTTTCCTTGAAACATTTAAGTAGCCATCTCCTTTGAAAATTGTCCCCAATAGTCTGTCCACTTTTCTATAGGTCCCTGTGGAAAGTCTGTGCTGCACATGTGAGGTGAGATAATTGGAAATATTCTGCATAGACACTAATGAATTTAGCCTCTCATTCTCTTTTGGAGTTTATTGGCTAGAGATGGGGTTTCCAAACTTTGACCTTGACTGCCAAAATTTTCTGCCACCCCCACTCATCTTCCAGGAGACCTGACCATTCAAAGCTGAAAGACTTTCAGAACTAGTTTCAGATTTTGCTTTGAAAACCAGCAGCCAGATTATTTAGACAGACTGAAAATTCTGACAGTGAACCACTATATACCAGTTTGTGTATCCATACCCATCCTGCCAGGAAAAATAATATCTGTCTTCTCTAGGATAAGCAGCAACATGGTCTGATGGGTCTTCAGCACTATGTCTGCAAGTGACACAATTTGATGATCTAAAGTTGGATTGTTGCCAGAATTCATTCTCCCTCTGTCTACTCTACACAGCCAACAGTTGTCCTGATGTAATCACAGAGGTACTTGAGTAGGTCTGGGGAAAGGTTCAATTCCACTTACATTCATTCTCTTTCAGCTGAACCTTCCTCACAAGGTGGTTGTTCTAGGGATAAAAGGAAGAAAAAGAAATTCCCATATAATTCTCTGACCTCCTGAAGAAAACTAAATCTAATAAATAATAAATAATATAAAGTCATTGAAACAGAAATCTAGCAAGTCTTGAAAAGAAAAATACTGTCCAACCTAATTTTTATTATTGTAATGAAGGGACATAATAATAATAATAGAACAAGTAGAATTAGGGACATAATAGAGTCAGTAGAATTGTTTTGACTTGCTCTTTTGCTTTTGTAAGAATTGCTTTGCTAAGAATTAGAACTGCGTCTGCCATTTGTTTCTACCAGCGATCTCACTTCTTTGTTATGTTTTTCTGTATCATTCCGTACCTGGTGGATATCTCAAGAAGTGGGGTTGCTAAGCACCCACCCACCCCCCTTCCTTACTGCACTGCCAAAGGAAGGGATGGGCCAGGGGCCAGAATTGGGTACTAAACTGGTGTCTCTGAGGGTATAAAAAGCCATATCTTTCCCAAAGTGTGGCTATCTCCTCACATGCATTGTATCTGTAAATTCTGGATATAGTCCCACCCAGTATTTTGTTTTTTGGCCATAAATAAAATCTGCTTTTTGTAAGCCTCGTCTTGAGTCTCTCTCTCTTTGGCATTCTGTTGACTCAAGTACATTTTGGGATCTTGCAGTAATTTCATCATTTCTGGTTTTGAACATGCTGTAATTCAGACGATCTCCTGCTATCACGCATACATAGATATAGAGTGTTTGGTTTCTATTGTTCCATATGTTCCTTTCTTTTCTTTTTTTCGATTTTTTTTATTTTTAAACAAAACATAAAACATAAATCCATTATCCATTACAATTTCAAACGGTGTGTCGGTCGGTTACAAGTCTTTTGTGCTTCATCCCCATATTCACAATTGACTAATTATCTAATTTCTCATATTATCAAACAGATAGGTATCCTCATTTATCATTTTTTTATCTATGGCTTTATCATTTCATTAAAAATTATTTTCAAATATATTATAACATTCATTTCATATTTCATAATTCATTTTCATGTTTTATTATCTAGACATTGATAAAATAAATCCCATATGTTATAATATTCTTTATCTTCTTGTTCTCTATTTTCAAATGTCAATTTCAGCACATTCCATGATTTTAATAACTTCTTCTTGCGTTGGTATTTTCTCATTTTTCCAATTTTTAGCCAACACAATTCTAGCCGCTGTTAATACATTCACAATCAAATATCTCAATTCTCTATTATATATTTCTGGCACAATCCCTAAAAAAAAAACCTCTGGTTTAAAGTCTATATGCTTTCTTGTCATTTTTATCAACCATGTGTGGATTTTAGTCCAGTATCTTTTAGCTTCCATATGTTCCTTTCTATTATCCTTTACTTTCAATAAATCTGTATTCTTAAAGCAAATGGGCGTTGATGCTGGATGTGACATTCAGAAGTGTGTTAAATTTAATTTAATGTTCAAATTATTGTTGAGGACAATGGGATGACTGTCATCATATGTCTTCGTTTAGCCCTACGTGGCATTCCTTTCAACGGCCGCATCAATCGATTCTTTTCCTAAAGAGTAATTTTGCTCATTTGCTAAATAAACATGCTCGGGAGACATCCGCGATTTCTACCCTTTTTCAGCGGAAGGAATCAGCGACACACAGCTTCATCCTCAGATTTATTTTAATCTAGCAGGGTTTATAGAAGGGATTTCTATACGCCCCGTAAACGCCCCTTTCCGAATTAGGAAGAGGAATTAATCCCACGTGTTTACTAAACTTGATGCAATAAAGACGCGGGGGTCCTATTGGAACGGAACGGAACTACTGGGTGTCTGTCGATCCAGCCGGAAGGGTTAAAGTGTGGGACTCGCCTGGGTTCAGAAAAAGCACGTGGAAGCTGGTTGCCCTTTAAAGAGACGCGCCTGCTTTTCGCTCCTGAATATGGTGAGCTGCAGGGGGTGCAGGGGATTCGGTGAAAAACCGACATAAAGCCTTAGATTGTTTAATGTTGGTGGGTGGGGTGTGTTTTTCGAGTTGAGCTGAAAAACGGTCATTTACTGCAGTAGACTCGGCAACAGATACGGTGGGGTTTCGATAGCCTTTAAAGTCAGGGGTCTCCAACCTTGGGCAACTTTACGATTTGTGGACTTCAACTCCCAGAATTCCTCAACCAGCGCAGATTATTTTACTAATCTGGCGCATGCGCTGGCTGGGGAATTCTGGGAGTTGAAGTCCACAAGTCGTAAAGTTGCCAAGCTTGGAGACCCTTGCTTTAAGTAACCACAAACTTTCTGCCAAAGCGTATTTGTTTAGTTTTAACCAAACTAAAATGCACTTGAATTGAAAATTATTTGTTTTTAACATATTTCAAACATTATGGTGAACAAGATGCAATCTTACCACTTGACAATTATTTACTTAATTTCAGAGTAAACATATTAGAGATAGCAATGGAAATTCTTAAATTCTACTTCAGGTCAGCTGGTGCAGTTGTTTCCTTTGTGAAGTGCCATTTACATTTATTTATTTATTCATTCATTCATTCGATTTATATATGCCGCCCTTCTCCGGAGACTCAGGGTGGCTTACAATGCATTAAGTAATAGCCTTCATACTTTTGTATATACCTGCTTAGTAGGGCTTTTGGCCCCCCCGAACGGTGTTCTATTTTATACAAAGTCAGCTTATTGCCCTCACAAACTGGGTCCTCATTTTACCTACCTCGAAAGGATGGAAGGCTGAGTCAACCTTGAGCCAGGTGAGATTTGAACTTGCAGTAATTGCAGGCGGCTGGCAGCTAAGTACTACTTTAACAGCAGTAGTTTAGTCCACTGCGCTACCAGGGCTCTTTTTTAATGATAACAGGAAACTACTAGGCAAGTTCATCATCAGTTTGGGGTATTCTTTCATCAATATGCTGATGGCAGTGTACATATGGCGACATCAGTATGTTGGTGAAAATCTGCATATGGTGATATCATGCAAAGTCATGATTAGCTACATGTGTCCTGACATCTGACACAAATATGTAAGTTGTGACATTTTCTGGATGTACTCTCTGCTGATGTCTATAGCACTCAAATGCTGATCTGTATTGGAAAAGGCAGTTTTATAGAAAGGAGTGTACCTCCTGGACTATCTGGGTGTTTGCAGTAGGGCTTGGGGGAAAAAAAGTATATATGATTATTTAGCCCAGTGTCTTAACTGCTGAGCCATCGCACCACCATAATATTAACTGCTGGAACCTAGAGTATTTTAACTTACTGCACCTGTGTATGGTTTGCCAATTGCACAGCGGCAGATAGGACAGCACTCCAGAGGGTCAACGTCATTGCCCAGACGTTGCCATTGGTTGCCCTCTCCCCTCTTTGGAAGAGCTTTATAGCTTCCATTGCCTTAAGAAAGTTCAAACATTCTTAAAGATCCATCTCATCCTGGGCACCCTTTTTTGGAACTATTGGTGGTACAGGATAATAAAAAGGACAAATAGGCTGAAAAACAGCTTCTCTCCCAGGGCAATAACTATATTGAATTCTACGGTAGAGTGCAATATCGGGTTTTCAATTATATAGAATGTAAAGGATGTATGTTTGTGTCTTTATTTTTATAGTTATAATGTACACTGAAGACGGCATTTAATTTTGTTGTACCATGTGCAATGACAATAAAGTAAACTAAACTAAACAGTAATATTAAATATCACTGATTTTTTACGTGTGGAATTTTATCAGCCTAAATTATATATTCAAAATATTGTAAATATTTGATTATTTTACTTTTCCTTGTGTGCATTTTTATCACTTCTTCAAGTATTCTTTTTGAGTTCTTTGGTTAGAATGCATTCATCTTTCATTCTTTTTGTAGTTGGTTATTAAAGCTAAAATGCTTCCTAAAGCCACATCTAGGTTGCCAATGAGAAAGACATACAAAAGCTGTAAAAAAAACTGGTAGTTTTATGAGCTTACAATGAAAGAATACATCAGTTGATTATCGGTATAGAGTCTGATAATAATTTAGGAACAGTCCTGATTTCTATAATTTTTTTTAGAAGGCCTCTTTTATTTTGAAAAGAAGTACAGAAAAATATAAATAAGATCCCTATAACAATCTTCTATAGTTAAGTGTTATGAATATATGGTAGATGTTGACTGTTGCTTGAAAGTTAAATAATTATTTTTGTTACGTTTCAGGTGAGAGTAGTTGAAGTAGTTCTATTAAATGCTTTTATTATTTGACTCATTATTTCAGCCCAAAACTGCCAAAGCAAAAGGAGGGGAGCAGGAGAAGAAAGCCATCCATCCTTACAGCAGAAAAGCGGCTCAACTTACAAAAGAAGCACACAAACAGGTTAAAAAGGAAAAGTAAGTTTTTACATATTTCCTAATGTTGAGTGGTATCTGGGATAATATTCTTGCTTTAGAAGTATTGATGGCTCGGTAGTTAAACATGCTGAGCTTATCAGCTAGAAAGCTGCCCCAGATTCTGCCCATCAGTTTGAAAGCATTCAAATGCAAGTAGATAAATAGCTACCACTTCGGTGAGAAGATAAGAGTGTTCCATATGCCTTGACCATGTCATGCTGGCCACTTGACCATGAAAGTATCTTTGGACAACATTGGCTCCCTTGGCTAACAACTGGTGATGAGCACTGCCCCCTGGAGTCGGATACAACTGTCGGGAAACTTTTACCTTTATTTTACTAATCTGGCAATTTATTTAAGGATGACATAAACATATAAGCACAAATGATAGCAATCCATTACTGTCCAGTTCTAAGATCTCTCATCATTTGCAGTGATATTGACCATGATTAATCTTACTACCGTGTTCCTCCAAAAATAAGACCCAGTCAGAGGCATGGGGCAGAAGGCAGGCAATCCCGATGGTGCGTGCAAGCCGCCGGCAAGCCAAGTGGCACAAAGACCAGCCTCCCGTGTCCACCCATCTGCTCTGGCCCATCAACTCTTGCCTTTCCCGCAGCTCATACGGCACGTCTGGATTGCCTGCCTTTCCCCCTACATTTCTGCCTCCATCTGTACAGTGCAATACTATATTATAAAACCTTCACTTTGAAACCTACTTTTAGATTATCTTTTTACCGGTGATTTAAACAATTTTGCTGTGGTGTTTTGGAAATAAAAGTTATAGCCACTATTATATGTTAAAATGTATTAGTATTAAATCTCGGGTTTATGATAACATGAGATATTAGTGTCCTATAGGTTATATTTGTCAGAGACTTTGGTGCAATATATTTAGAGGCAGATTTGTAGAACTTAATCTTAAATTAATGCAGAGTGGACTCCAGATTTTCTCCTTTTCTTCCAAAGCATTTGCTATGTCACCATGTGCTTTTTGTTCATTTAAAATAAAAAAACCTCCTCAGTGGTATAATAAGAACACATTTTGTTCCTGGTGCTGTTTCATCTCAGTAAGAGATCTTGTAGACATGCAGGAGTCTTTTTGCTGCCTTTCCTGACAATTTCTAATGAGAAGAGGTTTTTAGCAAGTCACTGTATCTTCACACAGCAGATAGGAATATGTTTTATTTTCATAATAAAAGAATTTGCTCAGTATTCCTAAAATTTTCCCTTCTGTTCATTAATCTACTAACTTTCTGATCTTGTCAGTTGTCTAATTCTGCATAACCCTTAAATTTTGAGGCATAATTAATAAGTCATTTGTTCATTAGGTATTGTTGGGAGTAATATCATAGAAATATGCCAGTGTAATATAATTAGCATTATAATTAGATATAATAAATAAATGTACAAGTATAATGTTTACCTTATTTATTTATGTTCTCTTTATCTAGGACATACGAAAAATAGATCATGCTTAAGTTATATTTATATAGGAATATAGAGTATTTAAAGGGTTCATAAACTGGAATTCAACAATATTGTCAGCAAGTCTCATCTTAATCACTTTATAACATGGTAAAATGTGAGTTAGATGATTGCTTGGGGTGCTTTTCAAATGTTTTAATATCAGATTGTGTAATCTCAGAGCTTTCGTGTGCCATAGGGAATAGCTAGTTAAAGCAGATATTAAAATATATATTGTAAAGATCTTTATGTGTAATCCACTTGCTTGCCGTTTAGGGATAAGGATTCACTTGGTAAATAAAGTAGGTATTTTATTTGCTAAACAGATTCCTTCTCTTTCAGAGCATCTGCTTCTGTAATTACATATCAATGAAAGATAGTTTTTGTAAAAATATTTACATATTTTGTTCAATTGGCTATACATATTTTAGAAGTTAGATTGTGCTATTGTAACTACTAAATATGTCATGAGATTGCAACAATATAAAGTTATTAAATAAATACATTGTAGTATTTTTTTCTTTTTGCAGATTGAAAAATGAAAAAGCCCTTCGGCTCAGCATTGTGGGTAAGTGTAATTTATATTTTCGGATTTTGTAAAATTAATCTTGGTTGCATATCTTTTAAGTATTTTCTTGGAAGAAGTTCTAGCCAGGGCTAATACGTTTTTTTAAAACTTTATATCAACTATGTACTCAGTTTAACATTAGATATCCTACGCTACTATTACTTGGAATTTTGGAATACTGCTTCTTTTATACAGTTCTGATTTTTTAATTAGTATTTTCTATAACATTTGGAAGTTCTGCATAATTTATTAACTTTCTTTAAAAGAGAATTTTAATCAGTTTTTTAACTTCAACTTATCGTATTTTTCGGTGTATAAGACGTACCTTTTTACCCCCAAAAAGGGGGTGAAAATCTGGGTGCGTTTTATATGCCGAATGTAGCCCCGCCCACCCGCCGGCCCCCACCCTTCGGCCATTTTCGGCCAGTTCCAGGCGGCAGGGATCTGGGTCGGGGCACAGCCTGAGGAACAACCCTCCCTCTTCGGGACAGTGGGGGGGGGGAGATCTGCCCAGCAGCTTTGGGGAACAAGGCGGGTGCCACGATTTGCGGCTGGTCACCCCTCTGGCCGCGCTGACTTCACTCCCCAGCAATGTGAGGAGCCGCCGCCACCGCTGCCTAACCCTCTCTGTGCCCAGGAGCCAAGCCGAGCTGAATGGAAGCCCCTAAAAGGAAACGTTCCTCCTTTCCAGCCATCCCTGCCCGGATTCCAAAATGCAAACCTCAAGAGTTGCGCTTCAGGTGGCGGCCAGTTCCCCTGCAATGTGCAGCGGGGAACTGGGAAGTGCTTTGGATTCGGGAAGGAGATTGTAGCACTGACGCCTAAAAGTGTTTTTCTGCACGTTGCAGAGACGCGCACCCCCGTCCTCTTTCTCAGCAGACTCTTCTCTTTCCTCCTGGCCAGATCCGCCACCTGAAACATGGTACACTTTTTTTGTCTCTGCACAACCCCATGTCTGCCGCCCGAACCCGCGATCCCCTTCCCGATTCCAAACATGGGGAGTGTGCAGAGACAAAAAAAAGTGCACCGTGTTTCAGGAGGAACGTTTCCCTTTAGGGGCTCCCATTCAGCTCGGCTTGGTTCCTGGGTGCAGAGAGGGTTAGGCAGTGGCGGCGGCAGCTCCTCACATTGCTGTGGAGTGTAGTCAGCGCGGCCAGAGGGGTGACCAGCCGCAAATCGTGGCACCCGCCTTGTTCCCCAAAGCTGCTGGGCAGATTCCCGCCCCCACACTGTCCCGAAGAGGGAGGGTTGTTCCTCAGGCTGTGCTCTGTCTCTCCCCCCAGAGCATGCTAGGGGTCTTCTTGGGGGAAAGCGAGTAGTCCCTGCACCTCTCGCTTGCAGGAGGAAGAGGAGGGCGGCGCCACCTTAAATGCTGGTAGGCAGAGGTAAAATATTTTTTTCCTTGTTTTCCTCCCTCAAAATTAAGGTGCGTCTTATACTCCGGTGCGTCTTATACACCGAAAAATACAGTAACTATTAGCTTTTCATCTTTAAATATAAAGCTTATATCTTTGAAATTGTGCATATGAGAAAGAAACTAAAGAAATTTTAACAAACATCAATATAATCACTTTTGCAAAATGCTTTTTAACTGCTTTCTAGTCATTAGGAACCAGTGCAATTACATATTTTACAGCAATATGCAATCCTTAAAGGAAGTTTTAAATATAAATTTAAGACATATACAGCAAAAGGGTGATTAAAACATGAATTTTGGAAAATTACAAATGGATTGAAGGTCCAAATGAACTTGAAATAGGATTTTCAAAATTAATTAAAGAATCCTTTCCCTGGGGAAATGCTGTTGTTTTGAATTCTTAAAAAAGAAACATGAAAGGATGGGACTTTGAAAGCTAAACACTAAAGGGAACCAGAAAGAACTAAAGATTACAATTAAATGAGAACACATTTGATTTACTCATAAAATAATATAAAAAAGTACTTTAACATTGGATGTAGTGAAGGATATTTTAAAACAATGGTCTCATACCTGTCTGGCATTATAGACAGAAAGAGGTTATGGAAGAGAAACAAGTTTTAGTGGACAAGACAGATTGATTTAAAAGTGGATTTAAAAATGACAGGCTAAAAGAATCTTGTGGAAAAAGATGCTGCATTGGATATACAAATGAAACTGGGAGATGTCTTAATAATTTAAAGGAAATAGACGAACAACAAACCAAAAGAGTGACCTGGATAACTTTTCCACATTTGATCTTTAAAAAAAGGCCTTGTTAAAGTTGGACATGTGGACTCTAGTATGAGCTAAACATTTCAGCAGCATTCTGTTTTGCAAATCTGCCCAGCGTTTAGGCAACTGTAGCAACATTTTTTGTGGTCAGTTAATTCTCTACTGACGGTGAAGAAATTGAAGCTGAAGCACTGAAATAAAACAAGCCTTCAAACCAATCATAAAATAATTACAGACAAGAAAGGTGAGGGTTTTATAATGACCATCATAATCCCAGGCCTGAAATTACCACTTGATCTCAATGCATTCAACTAGAAGAGTTCTGATTAATTGGATAGCCAAATTATTTAATCTTTTTAAATTGCTTTTAAATTTTATATGTTATGTTTTACCATGGCTGTTCACTGCCCTGAGTCCTGTTGGAGAAGGGCGGTATACAAATTAAATAAAATAAAAATAAAATAAATAATAAATAAGAATGGGGGAAAAAAATCCTAAAATAATAAGTAATAAGTAAATAAGTAAATATTCTTTACTGGTCCTGGCAAATGCTTTGAAGCTGATTTGGGGCAAAATCCTGATTGAATTCCTGTCAAAACTTTTGTATCTTCTGTATTTACTCTTATTTTGAATTTGTAAACAAATGGCACCTAAATTTTAAATTCAGTATGGGTTCAGATTTGCAGAAAGATGTGTTTAATTTTGTATCATGTAGAAGTTTTGCTTTACTTAAAAATTCATTGAGCGTATGAAAGGAAATTTCCAATGGTAGTAGACTTCATTATTTTATGGGATTAATAATTTAGTGTTGTTTTACCTTTTTATTAACATTAGAAGCAAGCAAATATGAAAACAATAACTTCAAAGATGGAAGAGGAAATTATTAAACTTTTCGTTTTGTTTACATTTTTATAGATTTTACAAATATCTTACTGTTTTGATGTTTATTGTACATGTAGAAATATATAACTGTATAATATTCCATGTGAATTTGTGCCTACATTAAACAAATGTACTTCAAAAATCATAGATTTTTTCATATGCATGTGGTATTTTTTCATAGTTTTAAGTGGTTTTTTTCTTTTTATATTTGTGATCAGAAGCTAAAAACAGTTTTTTTTAATGTATTGGACTCATTAATGAATTGGAATAATTAACATTCCTGTCGTATTTTACAGAAATATTGAATATCACAATGAACTAAACTTTTCTTTTGGTCTTTTTTCTTTTATGTAGGTGAAAAATTGCTTTGGTTTCAATGTCACCTTGATCCTGACAAAATGGAATACACAAAAAATGAAGCTTCTGAATTAGTAGAGAAGTAGGTTTACAGCAAATGACCTAAGTCTTCTTTGTTTGGAACAAGAATGTTGAGTTGATGTTCATAATTTTACCTGCTTGTTATGTTTTTCAAAATCAAAACAATATCCTGTTCTGTGTGGTGCATTAGAACAATTGTTGGTAAATGCCATCTTTAGTATTTATTCATGCAGTGTAATTTTAACATTTCATATATGTTAATTATCATAAGTAATTAGAAACCTTTAAATTAACTATTCTAATCTAATTGTTTTTCTGGAATAATATATACCTGTTGTATACTATTTGTAGGCAATTATTGAAGACACTTTTAGTCTCAAATATCCTGTTTCTGGATTTTGTAAATAAACCTATTTATTTTAAATATTAGCTGAAATTAAAAAGCAACTTTAGTTTGAAACGGTGGTATTCAGCCGGTTCTATCCAGTTTGGGCGAACCGGTAGCTGCGGCTGCGGGAAGCTCCGCCCACCCACCCAGATGTCATTACGTCTCGTTTTTGGCGCTCTGTGCATGTACGGAAGGCCCTGCGTATGCGCGGAGATGGTACGGGTGAGCGAATCGAGCACGCACGCTCACATTTGCAAACCGGTAGCGAAGGTGAATACCACCCCTGGTTTGAAACATACAGAAAGTAGTTTGAGTGAATATATACATTCTGCTTTTTAAAAATCATTTCTTGGCTAAAGAAAGCTATGCTATTCTTTTGTTATCAGATTGCTGTTTAAAATCTGGATGGGTGATGACATTAAGATAGAGAACCTTGCCTCTTACATTTAGTTTAATATCAGTGTTTTTGTATATATTCTTTATTCTTTAATATTCAAGTATTACTTTAAAAAAACCCCACAATGTTCCTAAAATGCCAGTTTACTGTGTTTTAGTTATTTGCAGCGATTTCGTGATGAGTTGGAGCAGATTGAACTGCACAACAGCATTAAAGGCAGACAGTCCAGACAACACAGTTCCAGGGAAACCGTAATCAAGCAGACCATGGAACGTGAAAGACAGCAGTATGAAGGCTATGGCATAGGTATGCTGTGATAAAAAGTAATCTGTTATTAAAATGTTCCCCAAATATAAGAACTCTGCATAAAAGAACAGTGTAACATGTGTGTTGTATTTCTGAAGTAAATAAAAGTTAATTGTTTTCTCATATATTATTCATACTTTATTGTCTGTATGTTGTTGGACTTTACTTGAGCTTGACATTCAGGTACCAGCTTCTCAAATCACTTATTTTACTGAAGAAATGTGCAGGTTGGTAATCTGTGTAAACCCTTCCAAATTGTGGTAGTTAATTTGATGCAGGTGGAAGACTTTTTAATAATAGATGGTCAGTGTAACATTGTTTCCGATGAATTGATTCAAGTTTAGATAAGTTTACATGAAAAATTCATGTTCATAAAGAGCATTTGAAATGTTCTTCAATCTTGACATGGCAACAACTTAAAATTAACAGTAGATATGCTATATTTATTGCATCTCTCTCTATATAGCTTATTCATTTATATTCATTTTTATGTATGTATAATTTATCTGGGTATTCAAATTACCCAGGTCGACTTCACTTTTTCTTTTTTTTTACTGTGAAATACTTAAGGAGAAATAATCATTTGCATATCTCTTGGTTAACTTGGTTCTAATTTTGAAAAAAATGATTTATACTGCTAGGCGGTGTTATTAGACATGGTAGTGTAAGATGAAAAGTTATATTGACAAATCTTTAAAATGCATAGTATTTCTATTGTCTTTTATTGAGAAGGAATGACCAGTGGTGTGACTTCCCTTTCTTTCCCAGTATTCACAATTCATTAGTTTTTCTTATCAGTTAATTATAGTTTTGTGTGGAAAAATTAGGTGCTTTTCCAAATTTGATGTGAAACATTTAAGTATTAAATTAGACTAATTGATTAAAGTTGCTTAATTGGCTAAAATAATATCTTTGATATGGCAGCATATCATGTAATTTTTTTTTCTTTGTTGCAAATACAATTTTCTCCCGAGAAAGTACTTAATATAGTGGATGTACATAATCTACACACAAATACAGGCATCCAGAGGAGAGTGATAACATTTCTTTCTGTCAATTTGAGCTTCTTATGATTGAAGCCAATCTGATTTAGATGCAAATTCTCAGTGTTTATGATTCATGTAAGTCTGTCTGGACCTATATGCCAATAACTCTCTTTTTTTAAAAAAGAGACATGACAGATCTTGATTTTGAAATATTAGAGATTGATATTAAAATTCGAAAGCTGTAATTTATGGAATTATGGATAAATTTCTGAATGCAACTGAATTACCCTGCTTTGCCAGGAATAAATTTTTAGTCCAACCCCATTTCTTTTAGAAGCAACTTGAAGCTTGATAAGCAGATATGTGCAAACTTGGATTTTTGGGATGTAATTTAGTTTTGTAATCCAACCGCAAGTTCCATCAAATAGAACATGGTGTGATGCCTGGAATTAATACTTCTGAAACCAGAAATTTAATAATGGAGGAGAGCAACACTTAGGAAAAAGCTTATCGTAAACTTTATTTTAACAAGTTAACAAAATGCTTATGCTATTGTTAAAATTTGGAGAGATCTTTTCCTTGTTGACTTGTCACCAGGTTTTCTAACACTATATAAAGATGTGCCTCTTGCACTTTTAAAAATTTAAATATTTTATTTTAACAAGTTTTACATAAAGAATAGAACAAATGCAAACAAAAAAGAAATAAATATATGGAAAAACTACACAAACGAAACCAAACAAGCAAACAAACTTAATAGAAATGAGGAAACTGTTTATATTTGTAAAACTTTGATCAAATGTCAAATAGATTTTTAAATGAGTCGTTAACATTAGAAAATATACCACCGAAAAATATATTGAGTCAATTTTTTGACTAATAAATAAGATTACTTTTTCAAAAAGAGTCAGTCACACTTCTTGTGAACCCAGTTTAATATCAAGAATACAGGTAGTCCTTGACTTATAACCACAATGGGACCAGAATTTCCACTGCTAAGAAAGTTGACTGCTAAGTGAGTCATGTTTGATTTTACGACCTTTTTTGCCCATTGTTGTTAGGCGATTTGCCGCAGTTGTTAAATCGTGCAGTTGTTAATAAAATCAAATCTAGCTTCCTCCATTGACTTTGTTTGTTAGCAAATGGCAATCCTACGACCTTCCCAAGGTGCTGCAATTATTGGAAATGCGTGCCAGTTGCTAATCATCCAAATTTTGATCACTTGACTGTGGGAATGCTGTCATAGTTGTAAGTACAAGGACTGGTCATAATTTACCTTTTTAAAGAGCCATTGTAACTTAAACGGTCGCTAAATGAATGGTTATAAACAGAGACTACCTGTAGCACTGTTTTTCCAAATCCTCAAAATAATTAGCATTGATGGCCTGATACAGCCATAACTGATCAGTCAAATGCCAAAGTTTGGGGATATAATTTAACATACTAATATCTTTAACACAAAAAATGTTTCATATGAATCTACACATTGAACTATTATTCCAGAAATAATCCAAAGATTCAGAAGACCAAATCATATGGGTAAATGCTGATCAGATTTTTTTTACATTGCTAACGAAGTAAAACTAATAGCCAACCTTTTGAATGTATTCTTTGGGGTATCCTGTAAATTTGAAATAAGATATTTTGATGAATCAGTTTTAATTTCTAAAGTGAGCAAAATAAATAGATAATTTAGTCTCTTTCAACTACAATCACAAAATCAGACAGTTGGAGATCACTAAACTTTTCATTTCATTTCTTTTAATCTATTAGTTGATCTAGATTCAATTTCTTTCCACAGAAATCCCTGACATTATAAACTGTAAACATCTTCGATATTTCAGGTGAGTTATTGTCTAACTACCCCCAAATGGGACGGGTGGGGATACATTACTCCAGCATAACTTCTGTTAATTTTTAAGAGGACACAGTCTTTTAATCTGAAGTAATCTAGTATGAACAGACTAGATTACTTCCAACAATGACATGCATCATATCAGTTTCAAATAATAAAACATCATATTGTATTATGATTCCTTGTAATACAGAATATTACTTTATAAAATGGGAATTTATCATTTGAGTGTAACAATATATTCAATTGATGTATTATAACTCAGAAGTAAACTGATAGGTGAAAATTGACGGTTTATATATTTGTATCTCTTTGCCTTTTTCTCTATTTTTTTCTTTTATTAGTATTAGACTTTTATAAAAATTAAAATGTTATTATTGATGTTACTTTAATTGCTTGACACAATGCCTGAGGAAATCCTATTTAGATGGAAATCCACCTAGGGTTAGGGTTAAGGTTGAAATCAGTGAGACAAACAAACATTATGGATAGATTCAGAGACACTGTTTATGGAAAGTAAGCTTTTTACGTTCCCTTTTTGCTTCATTTTATTTTCCAGGAAAAATTTAATAGGAAACCCTACTTTGAAAATAAATACCTACTTGAAGTTTAGGCTTCCTTGAAATCTGTAAAAAAACAAACAAACAAACAAACCAAGATCATAGTTAAATTTGGAGAGGCTGTTAACAGATAGTGGACTTTTTACATTCCTATTCTGCCTTATTTCAGTTCCTAGTATTCCAATGATAAATTCTACTGGAATGGAAATCAGCCTGTGGTTGGAGTTAGGTTTCCTTGAAATCAGTGTGAAAAACCAACTACACAAGATTTTGAGATGTTTTTATGGCTGGAGTTTTTCTTACATTTCCACTCTGCATCTGATTACATGTGGAGGGAAGAAATTAATTTACAGGACACATCAGTGGTTTTTGCCTAGCCCTTAGTGCATAATCTCAAGAGGTTTCCAAGGTTGGATTATCTGCATATTAGAAGAAGTCAGCTGCAGAAACTGATGAGCTTTGAGAAAGCAGTGCACATTAATTTCTGTCCCAATTAACAAAACCCAGGAAGAAATTAATTGAAAAACAGAGATGGAAGGTTGTATTAGCAAAAAAATTTCTGATAGTGCAGTCAAATTTTCTTTTGAGATACCTTCCTCAGGCTACAATAGGTAGGATCAGTTTATAAAGTAGGTAGAACATTTTACATATAAATTGGACCCAGAATATTTTTGTTTTTCTTTAATTTGGTATGGGAGTTATATTTATTTAAGTATTGTAAGCCTATTTTAGAGTATACATAGTTTTCCTGTATTTCCTGCATCATAGGAATTTCAGTAAAGTCTTTTAAAAAATCTCTTCAATTAAGTGGGTTTTTTCCCAGGGTTATTTTACAAAGACCTTTCCAATCAAAGTATTTTTTATTTTTTTTTTGTTTTAAATAGGAACAATGATAGATCGCCAACATAAATATTATAGTTTCCATCACCTAATGCTTGCCAATTTTCTTCCATTTCTACCAGAGACTGGGATGGTGATCTGAAGAAGCTACCGAATATTAAAATGAGAAAGTTATCCAGTAAAGATCTCTGTAGCAATAGAATGGAAAAAGCAAATGTTGAAGCTGAAAATGAATTGCCTGCAGCACAGGAGTAGACTAAAGAGAAATTGCTGGGATATCTGAAACAGATTGACAAGCCAGTGTTTTAACTGTCTGTGGCAGCAAGAAGAAACCTTCCTTTCAATCAACCATGAGTACCTGCAGTTCTGATCACTATGACAATTTATACTGCAGTTTGTAATATTGCATTGTCTTTTTAAAAAACGTTGTGCAATGTGTGTAAGGTTCATAAAAATACTTGATATTATATTGATAAACTAAATTCTGATTAGTCTAAATTAATCATTCTAATTAGTCATAAAATGCAACAAAACAACAGATTTAAAGCTCATGGGAAAAAAAAGTCCAATTTTTATCTTGCACCTCAGCTACTATCTTTTCCTAGTTGTTGTTCTTCAAGAGAAAGTACTGATCCGATTGTCATTACAATAGGAGCAAAGTATTTTTAGGGGTAAACTTAAATGCATCTTTCCATACCCCAAGAGTGGCAATGTTTTCTGTAGTATATTCTGGCATTATTCCAGATAGCGCATAACATCACTTGAGAGGTTGGGATTAAGAAATGGTAGAGTGGTGGGTTGACCCTGGTTCGGACTGGTTCGCAAGAACTGGTAGTAAAACCAGCAGGAGGCTCTGCCCACTGACCTGGACGTCATCATAGGTGATCTGTGCATGTGCAAAAACTTCTGCACATGCATAGAAGAGTGCGCGAGCGAAGCAAGCGCGCGGGGGCACGATGGGAACCGGTAGTAAAGGTAAGTAGAACCCACCCCTGAGCAGGTACTATTAAGGATTTTGTATAAAGCTTAAGATTCCTTCCCTCCCCCCCAATGAACTCTTCCAAACAGTAAAAATGCATAATGGGAGGAACCGTTTCACCGTTTCTTAACACACCACATTTAGCTCTTTTCTTTTTACAAAAAGCTTTCCTGCTAAGCATACATAGATACATAATTGTGTGCCCCAGTATTTAATTTATTTACAATATTGTGTTGAATTGGAAAGAATAAAATATAGGCTATAAAATAAGATTGGAAAGAGTAAAATATGGGCTTAAAACAGTACTGAACAATGCATGCTAACCAGTATATTTAAGCTGCCTTCTTTCTTGGATCTGACCCTTTAGTTGTAACATTCTATGTGGTAACTTGTAATATTTTCCCAAAGGTGCTTTTTCAGGAGGCAACTGGACTTTTTTCATTTTTTCTTTGAAGATGTTTCGCTTCTCATCCCAGAAGTTTCTTTAGCTCTGAATGGAGCTGAATGGGGAATGGAGAGCTGAAAAAGCTTCTGGGATGAGAAGTGGAAAAAAACCCCCCAAGAAAGTCCAGTTGCCTCCTGAAAAAGTCCCTTTGGGACAACCGCGACATGGATGACTGAGAATCTCTACAGACTTGTAATATTTTCATAATTCAAAATTACTAATTTTTGGACAAGCAAATAACTTGACTTCACCAGTTTGGCTTCAGAGAATCTACTAGTGGGCTTTCTACTTCGGTACTGATCTCTTTTTAAAACAAAGTTCCTTAACATTGATTTACAAATCAGATTTTGAAGCACATATTCAGGCTACTGAATTGACATTAAACTACATTCCTGAAGAATGGGGAAAGAGAATGCAATCCTGATTTTTTCTTCTTCTGGAGTTAAACTGTTACTCAGGAAAAGGACTGGACTACATTTGGTTTTAACCAGGCCGTTTCTCGCTTAATCAAATGTAATCTGAAGCACTTAGACTGAGCTTTTATTTAAAACGCGCAGGGCATTTGATAAGGCAATGATATCCTCCTCAAGTTTGAAACTTCTGACTCGAGTTCTGAAGTTCTTTAGACTGGAAATACAAAATACATAATAGAAATACATAACAGAAACATGATTAGTTTCTATTAAAAAATAAATAATTTATAGCCAGTTAAGAGTCATCTGTTTATTACAAATACAAATTTGTTCCACAACAATTAGGTTTTTTTCTCACCCCAAGAACCTTTTAAATACACAAATCACCCACAAAAGCTCTTGCCAAAGAGAACTGGGTAAAACAAGTAACAAACTTGCAAGTCCAATGATTATATATAATAAAATATTTGCATCATAGATTGCAGTGCAGTTTTCAGAAATTGAGAGATAATTTTCAGATAAATGGGGATCTGTGCAACAATGGAATACTGACCTTTGCTATTGATTGCTTTCCACCTGTAACAATTATACTAATAGTATTTTACATTTATAGCCAGGAGGATAATTTGGAATCGAATGCTGCCTAAGAATAAAACAACCAACCAACCGAACAAACAAAAAATACTGGAATTTTAAAAATTGGTTTTTCCCCTTAAAGGACGATAATATTCCACATTTTTTTCTGGTATCTGTAATACACTTTAACTGGTACTCAAAAAAGACAGCATAAAAAGATGGCACATTGCAAATTGTGGTACAAATATAATTTTTAAATACAACTGAAAGCTTCATACCTGTTTCCATGTGAATCATGTTTTAAAATAGCATAATTCCCTAGATTCTATGGAATTAAGCCAAAACAAATCTTGGTTTAAAACTGTTGCTGGCATAATGATAAGTTGTTTCTAAATCTTGGTATGGGAATCATGTAGACCTTTTCTCCCAATGCATCATGCTATATAAACATGCCAACATTTCTATGAATCTACCGTAGTATTTTACTGGCGCTGAATATATGAATAGCCATTTGCCTTTTGTCACATGCATGATAATCCTTTTACACAATGTTGCTCTGTATGGGCTACATTGTATGGTCTCTGCAAAATATGCAGCCGGGCAAATAACTGCCTGGACTGACATTAACATTAGTAGAATGATAATAAATTCATATTGCAGTATTATTCTGAAAGTGCATTTTGTTGCGCATAAGTTCAGTTTTCAGCTTTTAATGCCATAGTGATCTTCTATGCAAAGCATAGTAACATCATAAATATTTATAGTTGGAGAAGAAACATAAGTTATCACTCCAAATTATAAATATAACCCAAACTACATCGTGATCTTCTATATGTTGCTTAGAAAAAAAAAATGCAAACCATTCAGTTTTAATTTGATTTCAGCTTGTGGCCTGACTTCTTTTCCATCTGTCCCATTATCTGCATTAAATTATGGGATCGTCTAAACACCACAAAATACTGTAATGGCATTTTTTCTTTTATCTAAAATACTTCGTTTACAGTTCAGTTATCCAGTTTTCATTTCAGAAAGCTTTCCAGCATTATAATTCTTGTCATATCTATCATATTGTATAATATTAACTTTATGGTTAATATGTTTTCAACCAAGCTAGATTTCTGATAATGGTAACAACTCTGATTTACTGACATCAAGTGAGAAAATACCTATTTATCTTAGTGAAGTTAACTGCTTTTGCAATTTCTCAATGAACAAACAAATATAATTATGTCAGGACAGTTTACTCTTTTTTAAAATTTGCAGCATGAATTATAATTCTTTTAGAAATAACCAATTGCAGTTTTTCATCATAAGCTCACCTTATTACTGTTTTCTTGTATTAACTCACATTACTTGGGCACAACTCACAATACAGTCAACAAGCATAACAGTGATAGAAATAAGATACTTATTTTTCTGTAAATATCTTACTTTCTTTAAGCCTCCTGGGTAAATACTTCTGAAATGGGATGCCAAATTCTTCTTTGGATCCCTGCAGGCTGCATTCTTACATTGATATGACTTTAAGTATCTTATTTAATCATACCTCATTTTATATTAATATATTAAAATAATAGTATCAAATGAACTACTGAATCCTTAACTGTTAAATTCTTTCTTATATAGCAGTTACTGCATATACATTGTCAATTAAGTTCACATTGAAGAAATATTGTCATAATGTGAATGCTGTCCCCACTGACTTTTTCAAGGCTATCTTTTAAACAAAGCATTGGGCTGTAACTTTTGGGTGGGATTTTTTTGGGGTTTTTTTTTTTTTTTTTAATATTTCTCACCCTAATGAATAGATACTGGAAATTATAAAGCCTTTTGTTAACAAAAGTACTTTCGTGTCTTAATACTCCAATTTAATGAATTGTCCTTTGGAAGAATAATCTTACAGTGGCCAGGAAATTTTTAATATTCTACTATATAAGAACTACAAACTAAATTGCTGCTCCAGATGAATTTAGCAATTTGTCAGGAAATTTGCTGTTAATTATTTCTGTGTCTATGGTTGACCAAGAAAAATATTTCTAATATTCTAGTTTACAAATACTCAAAATCCATTATTACTTAATAAGTGGTTTTTTTTTTTACAGAAATGTTATAGGGTAATCACCTTAGCATTAAATATCACATTATCAGATAATTTGTGCTTCGATGCATACCTTTATAAGAACCTTAAAAATTTGTTTGACCTCCCCCCCCGCTCAAGTTTACAATAATTAGCAAAAAGACCATAGTAGCAAATACACACAAAATTTTTTTTTCTTGTAAACAGAACATAAGTAGAAGTTCTGCAAATGCAGTTCTTTTAAGCCATCAATAGTAGTGTTGGCATGTCCTTTGCCTGTTATAAGTTTTTGCTTTTCTATCTTCTTCCACTTTTAATTGTACTTAGCAAGAAAGGTGAAAAAACATTTCTCAGTCACATTTCAGAGGTAATGTGCAGCTTCTTAGTACCAATTTTCCTTGCTATTTTTTGTTTGTTCTTTTTTCAAATATAATCTGTGGATTTGATTTTCTTTTCTTCTTGTAGCTAACAGAAACATTTCGCTTTGTTTCCCAAAGAAATGCTACTTCCATCAAACGGGCATGACATCAGGAACAGTTTCTTCTATTTGCTGAGAGTTTGTATCTGTCTGTGATACTGGAACCACAACAGTATCTTTAATTTCAGTGTTCTGAATGGTGGAAGAATTTTTCTCTTCCAGTTTTTTGGCAGTATCTGGACAGTTCTGAACAAATATCACGCGGTTATAAGCCTTCAGCCTTCGCCATAACTGAATGTAGACTTTACATTGTACATACATGAAGACAAGGCCTCCAGTGAATCCAATGGCTACCACAACCAATTTTGTCCAAAATGGCCATTCTAGGACTCCTTTCCATGAGAAACAGAGAGAGAGAGAGAGGAGAGAGAGAGAGAGAGAGAGAGAGAAAGAGAGAGAGAGAGAGAGAGAGAGAGAAATTAATGTTAAATTGATCAGGACTATATCTATCGCTTTCTCTAGTATTTACTATCAAGTATATTTGCTGAGTGGTTTAGAAGCACACTTCCTACTATTTTCATATAAAGACAAAAGTTATCTTTTACAGGTAGTCCTCACTTAATGACATCATTCAAGACACAAATTTTCACTGCTAAGTGAAGTGGTAGGTGAAAGTTATTGTGACTGCATCATTTAACAATGGCAGTTCTGGTAATCCCAGCTGCGATTGTTAGACAAGGACCTCTTGCTTCTCTTGACCACACTCATCTCCACTTCAAATTCCCCCTCACTCCCCCATCTCTGCTTTATTGTTGCCTTGAGCTCTTCATCTTTGACAGAGTCGTCAAACTCAAGGCCTGTGGGCCAGATCTGGTCCACAGGGTGCTTAAATCTGGCCCATGGGGCCTCCCTGGAAACTGCGAAGAACCGACCCACAGTGCCTCCGCCAGCGAAAACAGCTCAAGAGGGCCGCATGCGGGCTCCCCAAACTCCATTTTCATTGGCAGAGGGTTGCAGGCGTCCGTCACAGCCGAAAACAGCTTGGGAGAGCCAGGGTTGGCCGTCCCAAACTCCATTTTTATTGACAGTGCGTTGAAGGAAGCCGTCAAGAGAGAGAGAGAGAGAGAGAGAAATTAATGTTAAATTGATCAGGACTATATCTATCGCTTTCTCTAGTATTTACTATCAAGTATATTTGCTGAGTGGTTTAGAAGCACACTTCCTACTATTTTCATATAAAGACAAAAGTTATCTTTTACAGGTAGTCCTCACTTAATGACATCATTCAAGACACAAATTTTCACTGCTAAGTGAAGTGGTAGGTGAAAGTTATTGTGACTGCATCATTTAACAATGGCAGTTCTGGTAATCCCAGCTGCGATTGTTAGACAAGGACCTCTTGCTTCTCTTGACCACACTCATCTCCACTTCAAATTCCGCCTCACTCCCCCATCTCTGCTTTATTGTTGCCTTGAGCTCTTCATCTTTGACAGAGTCGTCAAACTCAAGGCCTGTGGGCCAGATCTGGTCCACAGGGTGCTTAAATCTGGCCCATGGGGCCTCCCTGGAAACTGCGAAGAACCGACCCACAGTGCCTCCGCCAGCGAAAACAGCTCAAGAGGGCCGCATGCGGGCTCCCCAAACTCCATTTTCATTGGCAGAGGGTTGCAGGCGTCCGTCACAGCCGAAAACAGCTTGGGAGAGCCAGGGTTGGCCGTCCCAAACTCCATTTTTATTGACAGTGCGTTGAAGGAAGCCGTCACAGCCGAAAACGGAGCTTGGGAGGGCCACGGCCAGCATTCCAGAGTTACATTTTCATTGGCAGAGGATTGCAGAGGCTGTGGCAGCCAAAACGGAACTCGGGAGTAACAGGCGGCCCTCCCAAGCTCCATTTTCATTGGCAGACGGTGCAGGATGCAGTTGCAGCCGAAAATGGGAGCTTGGGAGCCCGTTTTTGTTGAGTGGTCGGGCTACCACAGGCGCGCTTGACATCAAATTTGACACCCCTGCTCTACCACCTACCCCTGTCATCCCACACTATATAACTTTCACCCCAGTTAACATTCACCATCTTCCTCCCATTTCTAGATGTGCCTAGCTAAGGCAGCAGCAGCTTTTCAAGGCTGCATGAGATCTCCACGATGCTGAACCAGACCTGACAATGGGCCAACAGCTTCTTGGCATAGACACCTCTTGTCACCAGTGGGAAGATGATGATTAAGGCAGCTGGGGATGGTAGAGGTAGGCAGCAGAATGCAGGGAAGACAAAATAACAGATGTGGGGGAGAGGTAGATGAGGTGAACTGAAGCGTACCTTGCTATCATAGATGCAGGCAGACTGTTAAGTGCCCAAATATTGATCATGTGACCATGGGGGTACTGCAATGGCCGTAACTTTGAGGACCTATTCGGCATAGTCATAACTTCTGTCAATGATTGGTGGTTATGTGAGGACTAAGTCTGCAAAAATGGACTGTCACTGTATAACTGTTCAACTGTGGTCTATTTATGGAGTGTCTGTAAGATTTGCTTAGTGCCTGTGACAACTGCCTATGCACCTGTCAAAAGAAATACCCGATTTGAATGAATGCACAATTTCTTAAGTGTACTTGGCAAGGAGTTTGGCAGAATTCTGTCTGAAATAATACAAGAGGCAAGAAGAAACATCATTTGGGAAGTGCAGTGCAGCTTTATTTTAGGCTGCTCATCTGCAGATTTTTGCTTTTTAGCAGTCACTGAAAAATGTCTCAATTTTAGGAAACATTTATAATTGGTTAGGTTTAGTAAGCTTAAATAATACAATGTTTTACATGGATATAGAATGGGAGGTTAATTGCTGAGTGTAGTAGAACTGTTATATGATAGAAGCAAAGCATACTTGAGAATAAATGATGGTAGTATGGTACAAGATTGAAAAGAGTAAGTCAAGTTTTGTGTGATGTTCCTTTTATTGTTTACTACTTTTTATGGATTAATTAATATGGAATGCTTGCAGTGAATGTGCCTGTAGCTTTACGTTCCTAAGATGCCATGTTGTGTAGGCTGTGAACCTGAACAATTTACAATGAATGTTATATGATACAAAACGGAACACAGATCTGGTTGTCAATGTATGAAAGATTAAGGCAATCTAAGCTGACAAGAAAAATTGGATGAATTATTTTAAATGATACATACATTCTACTTCTAGCACTTGCTCTAAGTTTTTTTAAAAAAGTCATTTATGCACCTTGTGGAATCCTTACTCAAGATGAGAAATTTTAATCCAATGCTAATAATAAGTAGTATAGTAATATAGTCCTGTGATGGCGAACCTATGGCACGCGTGCCAGAAGTGGCATGCAGCGTCCTCTTTGTGGGCACGCAAGCCATCGCCCCAGTTCAGCTTCGCCGCGCATGCATGCGCCTCCTGCTGGCCAGCTGGTCTTCAGGCCTCTGCCACGCATACAGATACTTTTTTCCTGTGGCAAGTATTGTGTATAGAGGAACAATATTTGATTCTGCAAATAGTTACAGTATACAGCGCGTTGTACAGAAAGCACAGAATCTTTCTGGAGTCAGTGTTTGCATGAAACAGACAGGATATTAATCAATATACTCACCATTGTCATTGCCTTGCTTAATTTCCTCAGCAGTCCGATCTATCAATACGTACAATGACCAAACTACACAGGTAATAGCAATAATGTGGAATGTGACTGAGCAAATTATTTTTCTTCTTTCACTTGTCGTCATCTGCAGTTTCTCCCACTGCGAAGTGAAAAAAAAAAAAGGTTTCAAAGAAAGGTAGGTCATATCATTTTTTTTCTGCAATGAGTCGCAAAGCAAATAACTTGGAAATCGGTCATTCTTAGTACAGACTATAGGTGTTCTTTTGCAAAACACATATTTCAGAATTTCTTTGATATATAATAATGTTGAATAACCTATTTGTAAAGTGTATTATAGTAACATAATATTTCCTATTATGGGAGTTAAAACAAAGAGAAATACATGTTCATAGATGTATACATATTCCATACATTCCTGTGGTTAAACATAGAAATATTTCCTTTAGTACATAGCATCAGTTTGAACTGTTCAGAGCAATGTCTCTGATTTGGTGCCCTGAAGAATTAGTAGACTACAATGCTAATTACTCTTATTTGCATTTTTACAATCTATATTTTATCATAAGCTATACTGCCTGACATAAAAACAGCAAAACCATGGTTAGATTTTCATGGTATATTATCCCCTCCCCTAGAGGTGGGCTTCACATAATTTAACAACTGGTTCGCCCAGAATCGAATATGTGAGTGCACACGCACACTTGCTTTGCTTGTGCACCTTCCACACGTGCTTAAAAAACACGGCTAAATAGGATGGCATTTATTTATTTATTAATTCAATTTGTATGCCACCCCTCTCCGAAGACTCAGGGCAGTTCACAATGTATTTAAAATCATTATAAAAAACATTTAAGAATTAAAAACATTAAAAACATTCAAACTCATTCACACCATTCATGGCCGGATCTCGCCGGATCGCAAGAATGAGATCACCGCCCCAGGCCTGCCAGAAAAGCCAGGTCTTCACCGCTTTTTGGAAGGCCAATAGGGTGGGGATGGTCCGGACCTCAGGAGGTAACTGGTTCCAGAGAGCTGGGGCAGCCACAGAGAAGGCCCTCCCCTGCAGGCCCACCAGCCGGCATTGTTTAGCTGACAGGACCCGGAGGAGACCAACTCTGTTCGGATCTTACCGGTCATTGGGAGTTATGCGGTAGAAGGCGGTCTCGAAGATACCCTGGCCCTGAGCCATGTAGGGCTTTAAAGGTAATAACCAACACCTTTAATTGTGACCGGAGACCAATAGGGAGCCAGTGCAGCTCACAGAGAATTGGTGTAATGTGGGTGTACATAGCGCTGGGGCGAGCCCACAGGTCGCAACTACCAGTCCGGCTGAATCCCACCCCTGCCCTCCCCTATTCTTGATTTCCAGGAATAAATACTACTAGTGCGGTTTCTTCCTTGGTGAATCTTGCACTTCTAATAAAGAATACCCTAGTAGTCTAAATTTGTTTTAGAGTATTTCCAAATTGGTTTTAGAGACCTACTAACATGTGTTAACAAATATTGTAAATTGATATTGGCAGAATAAATATCTACTCAAGGAAATATAATTGGATTATATAAGCAGCACAGTATACAACTATCCCAAAATGAAGTGTTATTTTGCTCAAATCTAGATTTAAATCATTAAATTATTTTTCTTCTTTCTTTTCTTCTTCAGAAGCAAAGGTGAGTGAGAGAAAGGCCACTTTTTAATTTATGCCATGGCTATGAGCAATTAAGCATGCTATTTCATTTTAAAACAGCACACCAGGGCCACTCATGTAATTAAAGTTTAATTTTGTTCTTAGGTTCACATAATAAGTATCTAGCCAATAATTAACAAACATATTTAGATAGATTTTTCTTCTATAAAAATAGATTTCACTATCCTTAATTGTGTTTTCCTGTTTAATAAGCTACTTTTTAAAAACCCTGCTATTAAAAGTTTCTAATTTGATATATTAGTTTTGTATCTTATAAAAATAGTTCTTTGGTTGAACATGGTGCCACACTGCCATCTGGCTGCAATATGTGATACAGAATATCAGATCTCAAGCAGTATTTAGGTAAACTTTCAAATAAATTCAGGCAGTAGGAACATCACATAAATAAAGAAAATACCTTGTTAATAAGAATGGAAAATAAAGAGCAAGAGCTGCTAATATTACATCAGTGATCTTCCCTAAGTCAAGCTTGACTCTTGTGGATTTATGGACAAATTTATGTAATTTTCTTTTGCACAATATGGAAATGACATGGCATTGCATTCTTTCAGACAGTTTTCTTTTTAAACTTTCCAAATTTGTAGTCCTGCATTTTCTGAAGGCCTCTCACCAAAACACTAATTAGATCAAAGCACTAAGCAGCTAAATCAGACACTTTGTCTAGATACTGTCAACTTGTAAACCTGCTTAAAATGGGGTTTTCTTTTAAACAATATTGAATTGTGACATTCTATTGTTATATTTTACACAATAAAGGTCTTTATGTGTAAAAGCTCTTTTGACTGTGTATAGTTAACAATTTTAATAGAAAAATATTTTGACTACATAACCTACAGAACTTCTCTGCTATTCATTAAAGTAGCCATTTTATTTTTTTCAGGTTTCCACAATGTCAGCCTTTATCAAAATCAATACTCAGATTACAGGGTTTGCAGGCAGAAATTCAAAGCACACCGTCCATATTTACTCTTTTTTTTTAACATAAACTATCATAATTAAAGCAGAAAATCAGCTTCTCCTGTAACATAATTAAGTATATAAGATTTAGAATAACAGAATAACAGAGTTGGAAGGGACATTGGGGGACTTCTAGTCCAATCCTCTGCTCAAGCAAGAAGAGACCCTTCTCTTCTAAAAGACCTCCAGTTATGGACCACTCACTAATCAAGTCTCCTTGATTAGTTTCCATCCATTGTTTCTTGTCTTGGCTTCTGGTACATTTTGAAAATAGGTTGATCCCTCTTCTTTGTGGCAGCCCCTCAAATATTGGAACAGTGCTATCATGTCACCCCTAGTCCTACTTTTCATTCAAGATATCAATCCCAAGGTTCAAATCTTACATAATTTTCCCCCCACCCCTCTCCAAAGGCATCCTAATATCTTGAGATCCAGTTCTTTTTTCTCTGTGAAAATTCAGATGACTTCTGTGCATTGCTATGGTAAAATACCTGTTTGGTCCAAAACTCTCTACTTCTGACCATCTACTGAACTTCTCATGGATACTTTCCTCTATGATGCTTCTTTTTTAAAACCACTGATTTGGGAGGTGCCAGAAAATTTCCCTCTAGGTATGAAGAATTTGAAGGGACTTTGACTGTCCCTCCACTATTGTGTCAAATCTTGACCCTGAATTGCTTCTGTTCAGAAATGGGTAGAAGAATGTTCATGCTCTATATAGTTGACATCAGGTGGAGTGAAGGACTTCTAAGAAGTGCCGAGACCTCCACTTTTGGTATCTCATAGCCAGTAACTCTTCTCAATCTGGATCCCTCTATATGCTAAGACCATGTAGGGAGTGGTTGGGTTCAAGGCAAACAGCGCCCACTTCCTTATGAGAACATATTGCAGACAACAAATATATTGTATTTATATAACTCTTATGTTTTCATCCATCAAGCTCCCTTGTCCAAAGGTTTTTGCGAAAGTCTTGGACAGGGAAGGTTCCTGTTTTATATAATTCATAGTGAAATAATGCACATTAATGCTTCCCAGGTTCTGTGTAAATTGGAAGTTACAGCATATTCCATCTTTTAATCTGCGTCTCCTGTACAGGAAATCCAAATTCTGTTCTACCTCAAATTCTCCATCCCCATCTGTTTCATTAAGGTGGTTGGGCAGGGGGATTATGGCATGCAAGAGACATTGGGTACATTATAGTACCTAAAAGGACCAGTGAAAATACTGGGTGTATTTTCTTTGTTCTTGGAATCTGTAAGTGAAAGGTTACAGGATTGATCTATGCAAGTGCAGAAATGGGTGTAATAACTTTTACCCAGTCTCTTAATCAGCTTTATAAGAGCAAAGAAGATCATGACCAAGCCTTAACTAGTTGTTTGCACTTCAAGATTGGTAAGGACTTGGTCAAGACGCTATCAAGTAATACATCAAATACATTTAATATATCAATATAGTTTGTCAGTTTAACATGCATACAAATATATTGCATCCAACAAGATATTAAATCTTGAAGTCTTCTGGATCAAATAAACAATCTTAAGATGCTTAAGGAACTTGTGTTGGTCAATTGTTTCTAATTCTACTTGACTCAATGGGCATTAGTTTACCTTGCCTGCCACTGCTGCTTTGAGTTCTTTTCATGCCTGTATCATCAGTACCAATATATTTGGTCCGGTGGTGGGTTCACATTTTGTTACTACCAGTTCACTCCTCGCGCGTGCCTGCCTTCTGCACATGCGCCCGGCCTTCCATGCATGCGCTTTGCTCTCGTGTGCACCTTCCGCGCATGCACCTGGCCTCAAAAATATGCCTAAATAAGACGGCATTGAGTGGGGATGAGTGGGCCCACGTGGGGCCACCCGTGATTTCTGCTACTGGTTCCCCCGAACTAGTCCGAACCGGCTGAATACCACCTCTGATTTGGTCCCCTTCAGAGCAAGATCAGCCCACACAATGAGATGTAGTTTGTGGATAGGCAGCTAAAGTTAACAAATGGTTTGCTCTTTCATGTTGGATTTATAGTCGTCTATAACCACAAAGCCATGATTAAGGCTACCCACAGTCAACAGTAACTATATAATTCATAGCTGCACTTCTCAGCTGTGTAAACCATATGAAACACCCCAACTTGAAGCAGAATATGTCCCTAGGTTTTGCATCAAGAGAATGCTGCTACATAAAACAGCTGGATGTAATTTGGATGTAATGTCAAAATAGGAAAAGGTTCACTGTTGGAGGTTCTACTGGATTCCTACTAGAGCAGGGCTATCAAAATCCCGGCCTGCGAGACGGATGTGTCAGGCGCTGGGTCATGCCCACGCCCGGTTTAGTGAAGGGGGAAAAAGTCCCGATATGTCATGTGATGCAGCCATGATGACGTGAGTTTGACACCCCTGTGTTAGAGCAAACAAATGAAAATTGTGACCCAGAAAGCCTCTGGTCAGCAGGAGCTGCTATGGCACTTATCAGGCACTCC